CCCCCCCCCCCCCCCCCCCCCGCCAGGTTTTCCCATCCACGTTTCTTCCACGGTTTTTCGGTCGTTCTTCTTTTGTTTTCTTTTACAGTCTTGGATAGGTTTTTAGATATTTAAACCTGTTGTTAAGTGTTTCAGATGCCTAGCTTAAGTTGCGTGACTAAAGAAAGCAAATACACAACCTGCTGATCGCCCCTTCCTCTTTCAGAGTCTTCTACATGGCGTAGTCTGTAATGCTCTGTGCGACACTTTACACAAATAGCTAATACAAATGAAATAGATAAAGATTAAAAATGTGACTCTTACTTCAACCCCCCAAAATGGAATTTTATATATAGTTTCTGGGACAGCTAAAATTTAGACATTGAGTTTCAATCTTGTTATCAGTGACAGTGGAAAAATACGAGCACTTAAAACATTTTAAGAAAATAGCGCGAGATGAATGATTACTTTTTATTTGAATTAATTTTCCTGTTCTAAAATAATCTGAAAAACGTTTACAGTTGTAGTTTGTAGTTCCTGTTCATGTATGCGTGTCACGCTGTAGCTTCTGTCACGACAACACTTGAAAAGACCTTTTGTGGCAAAAAAGGCTTCCGTTTAGCCTGCGAAGCGTAGACGTATTTCCGGTCGTCGCTTCTCTCCCTCCGTTATTTTTCGGAGGGAGAGAAGCGACGACCGGAAATACGTCTGCGCTTCGCAGGCTAGCTTCCGTCCTGAATAAAAGTATCTTGCTTGCTCATCGCCATCCAAGGTGACTCTTGTGAAGCGAACGAACCGTTCATATTTTATAGCAAGTGTGGTACAACGAAAGTACGCAAATTTCGGCGAGTCGTAAATGAAACTGATAACCCAGCGGCGCGCGGGACATATAGATGTTGCTCGATCTCAAATTACGCAGCTACAATTATACGTGTAAGTCGTTTTTTTAATTTGTTAATTTCATATTTTGGCAAACAAAAATTTTCAGCAAAATCCAAGTAAAAAATATTCTCCTGAAACTTTATATGACTGAAAATTCGTCGCACAGACAATTTAAAAAATCGTCCATTCAATTCTTTATAATTAATTCTAATTAATACGTCTGCTTTATAATTTGTATCATACGTGTACGACTGCAACGGTTTCCACTGTTCCAAAGTAAGGTTGATTTCTTTTCATTGCAGTATCCTTTCCAAATCATTTTTTTTATACGGGTGATGAAGTTTTCAGCCGTCTAAAGTTACAATTTAAAGGCCATTACCAAAAGGCAAGGTTACATGCTTTATGCAAAATACAACAAAATCACGTTCACGAAAATAGGCTTCCCGTGAAAAGAGTTTCTTGTACCAATCAATACTTTTTTGCTTTTGACTTAGAAGGGTATAGACTATTGTAAAATGGAATTATTTAACAAATAATTAGCCGCACTTTCAAGATAATGGGCTTAGAAAATCGCCGAAATTCGCTGTCCTGTAACAGTCACACAACATACCCGGATTAAAAACCTTGGCCAAAATTACCATTACACTAAAAATTTTATTTTATGCATCCAAAACGTTTATTTTAAGGTACTTTAGCTTCAGAAAAAAATTTGTG